ATTCTGTACACGTGTATACATATGTCATTAATCAAAAGATAAAAGTAACAATTATTAATGATAATTATATAGTATAAAAAGAATAAAAGAAAATGATATTGATGCCAGCTTTAAATAGAAATAAAAAAAAAGAAAGATATCCCCATAAACTTTTATGAGTTATTACTCGATAACATTGATTAATAATTATTTCAATGTGTAGTCATAATATCCTGTCTTTTCTTGTGCAAATATGTAAAACGTGTTTGTTTCTGAAAATTTAGTTTATTCAGTTTTTATTCTTATATATATATATATATATATATATCCTGATAGATATCCTTGATTTGTAATACGTATGGTTTTAAAGTAAACTGTTAGTTAGATGAACTATATAAACAAGTTGTCAAAACAATTTGTTTAGAAAAAAATGAAATATAATTAATATTTAAATCCTTACTTAATAGTTGTTGTTTTCAATTTAGTCCTAAAACATCACAAAATAAAAAGAAGATATACTTTTCGTTGCAATTTAGATTACCATAAATGGTAACCTATGAAAAGACACAGATACACTACGTACTACTTCCAACCCACATCGAACTAATGTAAGCACAAGTACAACAACCAATACCACTTCCTCGCAACACACTCGATTCCACTCAACTCTTTACCTACACCTCTCACCACACTGCATTCACCTCTTTTCTCTATAACTTTAGATGATACTGCTCCTTCCTTCTACGCACGCGCATTACCTTACGTACACGGATTACGATATCAAATCTTAAAAAGATGAGCTAATGCTTAAAAAATCTTTAGCTGCAATTCATATTTTTTTTTTTTTTTATTAAATAATACATTCAAATTTTGTCTACCAAAAATTATATTTTTATACCTAATCTATTTTTAAAATTAATATTATCATTTATTAAATAAACAATTATGTATCACATTTAAAATTTTAACTTCTGCATAAAAGCATATCAAAAACAATGTTTACCCTAATAATTAATTCAGATGTAATATTTAACCGATTTTAATAAACATGGTCTTATTTTAAAAATGAAACTTTGTACTATGAGATCATGTTTTTTAATTTTGGAAAAATATTTTTTTTGGTACATGAATTATTGTCGAAAAAAACAGCTGTTTTCAAGACAATACTTTTCAGTGAAAATAAAGTTCTTTTGAAAATTATCATATCTAGCGTATCAAACACGTTATTATCAAAGAAATGTATAAACATAAGATAATGAAGAATATCAGTTCATCCTACTAACATTAATAATTTATCTCACACTATACTGATTGTCTGATATCTGTGAGAGGGTTCTAACCCACACAAATTTATTTATTGATATGGAAAATTTGTAATGGGAGGGGGGACATAGACCCCCTCTTTTACTTTTAGTTCGTATTAAATCCGGATCTGTCGCTAAAGTCGTAAATATTTCAAATTAAAGGGTTGTGAATAGTCTAACGTAGTTTATTTTATGACGATGAACGTAGGGGTTATTTACAGCACGTTTATATATACGAGATATTGGTTAATAATCTGTTAATTAATCTAAACATTTTCATTTTTTATGTTTAATATTTATTCTTATCTGTAATATTTTTTACAATTATACAATATTTTATTCAAAAATGTACTACAAAAAATAAAACAATGTTATAAATGTAAGAAATTTGTTATAAACGCATGACATAACTGTATTTTATTTTTATATAAACTTGTGTCATTTAAAAACAAATTTTAAAATTACATTAATTTGATAAATTTTAAGGATTAAATATCAAAAATTAAGATGTCAAATCTTAAAAGGATAATATAATTTAATTGAAATCTATATAATTAATTTTGAAAAAATGAGTAATTTGAACGATAAAGAAATCAATGTTTTACCGATTAAAAGAGTAAAGGATCATAAACTTCGACGCAATCATGAAGAGACGAATCCATGTGTAAAGGTATCTTTTGTGCAATGAGAAAATGTTTTATTTGTTATGAACTAAACATTATACATTATTGTGTGTAATTATTAGGAACAGAATTTATCTTTAAAATGCTTGGATGATAACTATTATGTTCACGATGCTTGCAAAGCGTACTTCGAAAATTATCGTAATTGTCAAGGCTTTTGGGTAATTCTCTATTTAAAAAAAAAAAACATTTCTCGTATAATTTCAAATAAACTTTTCGTTAAATTTAATCGTACATTAAATACCATTTGTATATTTTAGCAAAAAGTAGTAGCTGATCGTAGAAGAAACAATGTTAAACCTTATCTTCCGATTCCAGAAGATCGAGAAAGTGTAAAGAACGAATACATTAAATTAGGTTTTAAATAGTTTAACAAATTATATATGCATGCATTTGCATATATTTTAACAATAACGTTTCAGTGATAATTCATTTAAATATTACTTCAGTATGATCTAATGACTAGGAAACCTAACTTTTATTCATTTAAATTTTACCAATTTTCATCGAGTTTTGACGCATATAAAAATATATTAATTTAGAATAAATTTATACCATTAAAGAAAGAATGACAAATTATGTTATATTATCATTGTAATAAATTGTATATAAAAATGTAAGGATCGTATTTGAAGTTTTTTCAACGTTTGCATATATTTTTGTCTATATTTACATTATACACATTTTTACTTTAAAAATATTGCTTATTCTGATCGCATGTATTATAATTTTTGTTAATTAATTAATTAATCTGAAATAGAATTCGTAAAAATAGTTACGGCGTCATGAGAGAAATGTGCTATTGTGTTATATACTAATAAAAATAATGATCATTTCTGCAATTGTAAAAATGATATTATTAAATGTAACACCGCGTGAATAATAAATACACTTGTTTTCCGTTTTTTTTTCAATATGCAAAAGTACACACTTTAACTTTAGAGTGAATACATTTATATTTATACAATATCATAAGTAACATTTTCTTTTTATCAATATCTATGTACGTGGTTCAAGATTAATGTATTCAAAGATTTTTTAATTACTTTTATTTGTTTTTATTTTGTTATTTTTCCTTGTATGTAAAGAAATATTGAAATTTTGTTTCTAAAGTAATCCTTTAACTAATGTTTTAATTATTTTAACGACATCCGTCTGGATTATTTTATTGAATAAATTAATCGTGTTTATTTTGCTATTCAGATTTTCAGTACTATTACAATAACCAAATATGATTATTTTTTAACATGTGTCTTAAACGTATTCTTAAACGTCTTTTCCAAAATATATGCATAAGAAAGTATGTTGATAGCTATTGATACAAAACATACAAGGAATAATATGTATAAAAGACCAAAAAGCACATTTAATGCATGCGTGTACTAAAATGAACAAATGTACAAATGAATATAATATATTCTCACGTATAGATAAAGTTCAGTTAAAAACTATAGTTTAATTAAATAACGACGTATGAAATAAATCATCAATAAATTAAAGGCAATTTGTTTGTAATCTCCATTACTTCAAGGAATCGATGACATATTTGAAATAAATATGACATCATTTGTCAGGTTTAAAGTAAAGGAGTATCGTGTATGTGTATGTGTGTGTGTGTGTGTGTATGTGTATGCGTGTATGCTTAAAATTTAAACTAGTTACATAGTAGTAATAATATTAGACTTAATTTACTTTGGTTTCCTATACAAGTGAGTTATTATTTGATCTATGATTTTCGTAGGTTGTTTTTACTAACGTTCCGTTTCCGAATATCTTATTTTCCTTTTTATTTGTTTATTTCCATTTATTGCCTCTTGTCCTTCCCTGTTGCTCTCTTCATTTTTAATAGATATCATCCACGAGTAGTCAATCAGAATGGTTTTTTATATGGAATGTTTGAATACGAAAATGACGGCACATTTGGCGCACCTAATATTAATATTTATTATCCACTTATTAAATCATCCTAAAATTCCAATAATGTAATTTAAAAAAATAAACAAGGTAAACATACCACACAGGTACCATAGTGAATGTGGGCAAGTAAGGAAAAAATTGCTACGAAGTACATAGATTTCAGATTCATTTCAGGCAAGACAAATGAAAGAATAGCTGCTACTGTTACCGGTAACAATATCCATGGTAATATTTCACATCTAGTATTGCTCATTTGAGAGACAATTAAGCGGCACTGTAATAGATAAGAAATAATATTATATTTTAATCAAATTTCCAAGGCAACACTATCTTGGTATTTATCCTATAATTATAATAATATAATTCCTTAAAATAAATGTTTATAAAATCCTATTTGATTGCTGCTCTACGATACATTTGATTCAAAATAATATTTTGTTTCTGTACGTAAAATTATTATTTCATACTAACTTACACATATATTAGAAAAAATAGTGCCAATGGCAAAATATATTATACGAGGATCCTTTTCCAATATATCTTGTTGGGAGAACAATATCCAAAGTGTAGAAATCATAAATAACAATACCAAAGGCACCAATGGTCTTATTGCTTCTGGAAATGTTCGCATTTTTCCTGTCTTATCTCTGTACGACCTAATAATAATAATATACATGTTACAATTAATAAGTAAATGTTAATCATTTGTAATAAAATCATGATAAGGGATAATTATACCAACTTGTATATATTCCACAATACAACTGGTAAATTCGATACAAGAGCACTGACATATAATAACATTTCAAACATTATTCCCGCTGATATTCCTCCTGGCAAGTAAAATTTCCATGCTTCGTGACCTCCTATGCTGGTCAGGATAAATACCAAGACAGTTGCCTGGGATTTGATTAAAATATAATTAATTATCACGAATAATAATATTAATTATCAAATCTAATTATTAATGAATATTAATAAACACAACCAACCAACATAGATGCGTCATATCCCCAAGGAAGGAATAGCACACCCGTATTGTATTTCTCCCAGTGACTTAAATAAAAATTAACAAATACATTCCAAAGTATGAAATACATTCGTAACGGGGAAACACTATGATCTGTCCTTCCAAAAACTGAGTACATACAAACAGTGATTAACATTGCCGTCCAACTGTCCAAACCATGATCAAATAATTCACCCAAAGGCCCAGAGGTTTGTGTACGTCTTGCTTGTTTTCCATCAATACCATCTAAACATAACAAAAATTATTGTATAAATCATATATCGTTAGAATAATTAAACTTAGTAAATTATTAACTAAGTTTCTTATATTATATCCTGGAAAAATGTAGCATAACTATTTACTTACCAAGCGTGTATGCCATAAAGATATTAAATGCGGCTATTGCAAACACCCAACAAGGTATAGGTGAATATTGAGAATGATCGTCACTCGATGCATAAAAATAATAATCAAATGATGCAAATACCACAAAGTTTAATACGGTAAAAAGAAATCCGGAAAACGTTAATACGTTTGGTGCTACCCATTTTGGACAATACTGAAAAAATAATAGAAATATGATATATATAGTTGATCCATAAATTATTATTATTATTATTATATGATTATTTATAAATATAAAATGTATACCTCTACGACTTTGTTCCAAAATGGATGCATAACATATACACTGAGTGGACTTGTATCCAATGAGCTATACTGAAAAAAAAAATGTAAACATGTATATATGTGCGTAGATATATTTATAATAAAAAAATTATTATATATATATATATGTAGGTATTGATACAAAGTACACTATCATATAATATTCTAATACAATAAAATTAATAAGACAATGAGAAAATAATAAAAGCTGTTATAACAGGACGAAGTCCTAATAAAAAGAAGAAGAATCAAATAATAATGCATAAAAATGCATCTTTATTCGCTATTTAGTTATATTAATTGATCATAACTATTAGAATATTTTCTTATCATAATGATTTACTGCTTTTATATAATATATATTTGTATTTCATTATAAATGTAAACAAATTATAGAAAAAGAAAAAAAGATATAAGTAAGTCGTTAGGATAAATCGTTTATCTTCAATTACTTACTTTATAATTTTCAAAGCCAGTCAAATGTTCCTCCGATAAATACTCTATTTCGAGATTCATTTTTTGATACATGATAAGAGAGGTCTAACCTTTCGATTTGGAGTAGTTTATTTTGAAAATATTTAATGTCCGCTTTATTGGCTTGTATATATACATGAAAGATTTAATATTATAATACTAATTATTTCAACCCCTCCTAAAACAATTTAAAATGATGTATATTATACATAACAGTAACCTTTTATATAGCGCCTATTCATTATCATAGAATAATGAAATTTTAGCATGGATCCTCAATCCCCAAAAAGATCGCAAATTTCTGCGCCTCTGTAAACGTAAATATACACTAAAGCGAGATACGCGGGTCATTTAAAATACCATAAAATTATCATTTCAGCAATACTATAATATACCATACAGCAATTAAACAAATAAATTCATTGAATTGAATTAATTTGAATGATTAATTGTACTCTCATTTTAAGTTACTCTAAAATAATGAAAACAATTTTTAAATTAAATTTAGGATTATTTATATGTATGTATGTATAATTGCTGTTTAAATGTACTCTAATTTTAATTTAAAAAATGACAACAAATTTTTACAATATTATATATTTAAATTGTTTTAAGTAACATCAAAAGCATTGTATGTACATCTTTATTATAAAGATAGAAATCTATTTTATTATTTTTAGCGACACTGTTTCTATTTAAAAAGCTTCGTCATTAATTGGAGAAATGTATTACATTTAAATTCGTTAAATTAAATTTTATAATTAATTACATTGTTATATCATTTTTAAATAATATAAAATGGTTCTATTCTCTAGATGACCACCGATAACATTCAATTCTATGAGAAACATGATGCAGTATATTTATATATATAACAATTTTACTAATATATAATATGGATTATCTAATATATAACACAAAAAATAAATAAAAGCTAGGAAGCTTTCAAGTCTTTTCAAAAGTCTTTTTAATTAACGTTTATGCTTTTTAGATTTTTTTTTACTTTTAGAACTTTTGTGTTCTTTGTGCTTGTGTTTCTTTTTAATTTTTTTCGATTTCTTTGTTTTATGCAACTCAACCCACTTTCCTTCAAATTCCTCTGCAGCTTTTGGTACTATGACACTTTTAAAAATGGGTCTGGAAAATTCTATACTTCCACTGGAATCTGCCGTAGCATTGCCGTCTTTGATCAATCTTGAAGGAAGCATCGGACCGTATACTGTTTCTGGTATTGACATTTGAGGTATATCACAGGTTTTATTTTCATTATTTTGTTCAACGATGGTCTGCGGTTCTTGAGAAGGCAAATTTGCTTCTTTCTCTTTGATATTACTCTCAGTGTCTTCTGTACTGATAGTTGATTTTTTCACAAGATCTTCGAGATCTAATTTCGCAAAAATACCTCTAGGAGGTGACGTATTTCTTGCTACGTTAACTTCATTCGATGAGTCACCTATCAAGACAGACTTTACTACTTCGTTATCTATATTTTCTTCTGTTTCTGTCTCTGATTCGTCACTACTACTGAGAAATATTGCTCTGAAAAGATCTTTCTTTTCTTCCGAATTATATTTATTAGTTGTAACAGTCTCTTCATCCTCAGATTTTTCAGCATCCTTCGAAACTTTAGTTTGTTCCATATTTATTATTTTATTTTCTTCATTAATAAATTCCTGTTCAGGATTATTTTTTAAGAATTTAGTTGAAGGTATCTCCTCGACTGTTTTGCCAAATATTTTTTCATACGAAGCTTCAAAGTTCTTCATTTTTTCTGACACGATTTGTGGTTCTTGAGTTTCGACAGAAGTCTTATAATATGTGGGGGATTTAGATGCATCACTTTTTATGAATTCATTTCCATAGGAAGAAGTAGATGCATTATTATCTATGTCTTTGGGAAGTATTTCCGTTACTTTTGAAAATCTTGAGGATACATCGAAATCTAATGAATCAAATACAGAAAACTTCGCTTTCTTTTCTATTTTAATTTGGATGCCACAACTTCGTGGTTCAGGAATATTGAATCTTTTACATACGATACTTGCAGGTTGCCATTCGATTATATCTCGAGTTAGTTTCCCAAACATTTCCATTCTAGCAGCTTCTTCTTTTTGTTGTTCCAAAGCGTCAGTTAAATTTAATGTAGATTTATTTAACTCATTTTTATTATCATTATTTGGTACTTTTTTAATCGATTTAGATGATTGTTCAGATTCAGTAAGCTCCGGATCTTTTTCTAATTTAATTATAGAAAGTTGTTCTATGCTATCCGATTTACACATATTATTTATTTTTAAACACGAACTATTATTAATTTGATTATTAACTGCCTCTACACACACATCGGCAAATGTAGAGGAACTATTTAAATTAGTTGGTAAATTTAATAATCCGGAAGTGATTTGTTCTCTACCTGTAATACCACCACTGACAAACATTTTTGTATTTAATTTATCCACCCATACATTATTCCCTTGCGCTTTTGGCTTTTCAACGATTTTTTTACTAACTTCTACTTTTTGTTCTAATGAATTCGATGGTTCTGACATTACATTAGAAATAGACATAGGAATTGTAGAAGATAATATTTCTGTAGGTGTATTAACTTGTCCTTGAATTACTTTATTGGTGAAACTAACATCTTCTAAGATTTTAGCTCTTTTTGTAACATTAAGATTCTTTCTTTTTTCATTAAATGATTGATGAGGAATTGGAGGATAAAAACGACTCTTTCTTGTAAGATGAATTGCATGATAGTCTTTTGGAAGAGAAGGTGGTGCAAAAGTCTTCCTACTATTTAATTTATCTTTTGCTTGCACAAATCCCTCTACAGAATTACTTTCCTTGTCATTTGAAATATTTTCCTTAGACCATCTCGTTTTACTTTTTTTACGTTCTGGTCCTAGTACTGAATCGTACCGAGACATATCTTCTCTTTCATAAATATCCTCATCGTCTGCTTCAAAAGCACCAACTCCAAATGCATGCCCAAATATTGGAAGATTTTTATTATTGCTTTGATAATTATTTTCTTCATTTACCTGATTAGATAAAACGTTTTGTCTGTTTAATCCACTGTATCCAATACCAAAGTAATTATCTTTTCCTTTAGACCTATAAAGTACAAATATTTAGTATAATATAAAATCTGTTAAAAATATATAATTAATTATGAATTAATATTTACCTAAAAGGCTCGTAATCATCAGGAGCAAAAGTAATATCAAGATTTTCATCATCGGAATCACACACATAATTACTATCAATTTCTTTTTCTTCGTTTTTGGGCAACGAACAGCCATATATTTTAACTTTTTCTATCTGTTGTTTTGCTTTGATCTTCTCTTTCTTTGTTACCCTATTTCCTATACCTTGTCCTGGTTTCCATCCCATTTTCTTTAAAAGAGCAATACCAACTGTTTCTCTATAATTTTTACATTGTATTAAAATAACATTAATGCACACACATACATATAATATTATTATAATCAATTTTAATAAACGCTTACCTAACAGGCCTCAGAAGTTCTTTCAGTACAGGATTATACGACAGGAATTTATTGTTAATCATTTCAGCTCTTCCTCTTTTAATACCTTTTTGTTCATGATGTTCGTAATCACTATTGGCCCTAATACCTTTCGGTGCTATACCAAATATGCTTACATCTTCATCATCCATAAAATCTTCTGGTTGCTGCGCAACTGCTTTCGCTTTAGTACCTCTGGAAGATTTAAATTGCTGTGGTTTCCATCCATCACGAGTTCCAACTGTATTAAAGTATCCCGCAGAAAAACCACCAGTGAATGCACCATGAAATCTACGTCTACCCTGAGCATCATAAGCATATTGATCTTCTATGGTAACAGCTTTTTTCCTTGGTAAATTTTCTATAAAATTCGTTCAATGTTCAATCAATTAAGATATTATACAAAAATATTTGACATTTACAAAATAATATTAAATCATTTATAATACCTTCATCCAGTGGTTCCAAAGCTGTTCCAAAAGTAGCATAATTTTCATCCTCGGAATCACTCATTATTATTTTAAGTCTATAACAGAATACTTAGCAGTTACAATAATTAAATAAAAATTGTTATTTAATACTAGATACACTTTGTATACATACATAATATCGGATAGGTTATGTTACATGTCAGTGATTTTATCGTATAACTTCGTATAACTTCGTATCACATCGTATAACATCGTATACGTAATTGTAAGTCCTACTGACCCAGTGCCAATACCAATTCATATATATTTATATTCAAATACGTATAAATTAATGTTTTTGTTTATATAAAATACTATTAATTTTTAAGATTATATCATAAGTAAATATTAATATGTACATTATATTTAGTAATAAGAAAAAACAATGTAATTAATAAAATTGTAATCTTTATAAATGAGTGTTTATTATTGTGTACATTTTATTATAGTATAATTCACATTATATTTAAAATGCCTTTAAAAAGAGAGATTAAAATAAATAAATTGTTAATGCTAATAGTAAAAAACTGAAAATATATATATATATA